TTGTGGGCAAACTAAGTATTGCAAAAACAAATCAAAGCACATGTATATCTGCTGCATATACATTTTATGCTGTTAGAATATTCACAATTTAATTGAACACATTCCTTGGTTTCTGTGTAAAACTTAAGTATACATTGGGCTGATTTTCCACAATACTCAGGATGTTAATTGTAATTATCCTCCTCAGGTACAAGTGTGGGTGGCTTCATTTACGCCACACTCCAGAATGAGCTCATTGAGTTGTTTGGTTTGGAAGGCTGTCTGCTTATCATTGGGGCGCTGGCGCTCAACTTGATGGCATGTGCTGGGCCAATGCGACCTTTGAACTTACCTGGCTACTACCTGAAACAGAGAGCTGCTCTACAACGCACAGAGGACCCAGAACCACTCTATAGCAAACCTACTGCCGTTATCATTGAGTCTGGATCTGATCTCAAAACCAAACCCGGCTTAGCCGAAAACACTACCACAGTGAAACTGTTGATCAATAAAGACCCCATAGAGCTACAAGACAGTGAAGGAGAACGGAAAGTCCACATATTGTCCAGTTCAATAATAGCACGAGCCATTAAGAAGTGGATGCGTCCATATGGACAGTATTTCTGCGAAACAGTAGAGCTCCTACAGGACCGGATCTTCATGGCTTTCTGTATCGCCATGTTTCTGTTTAGTTTAGGAGCATTTCCACCTGTGCTCTTCATGGAGGACGTGGCCCAGAGCGAAGGGCTTATTGATGGGATTGCGCTGATACCACTGGTCTCCATTGTTGCGATGACTACAGGCATCGGTAAGCTGATTCTGGGTGTGCTGGCCGACATGCGATGGGTCAACAGTCTGTATCTGTACGCCCTGACACTCATTGGCTCTGGAACGGCTCTGCTTCTCATCCCTGTGTCCAAGAGCTATTTGGGTCTACAGATTCTTTCAGCCTCTGTTGGGTTTTTCTCAGGGAACTGGTCTCTTACATCATACATCACTACCAAGATTGTGGGCATTGAACGGCTTGGTCAGGCGCATGGGATTCTCATGTGCTTTGGAGGGTTTGGAATTGCACTCGGGCCACCAGTTGTAGGTAAGAAGAATCTCATCAACCCTTTACAATATAAAGAACAGAAAAAAGAAAGTATAAAAATAAATAAATAAATAAAAAGTATAAATAAAAGTAAAACAAACAACTCTCTTAGAGTTTTAGCATTTTGATTTGATTTAGCTGATATCAGGTCTGGCAGGAACACTTTTAGCTTAGATTGGCAAAGATCATTGAACTGGATTAGACCAGCTGTCCAAACTTGGTCCTGGAGGGCCGGTTTCCTGGAGAGTTTGGCTGCGTCCGAAACCGCCTACTACTCAGTAGGTACTGCATTTGAATTTAATAGTACTACTTGGCCGTTAGAAAAGTATGTTCTATACAGTATAAAAGTGAAAAGTAGGAATGGAATTCGGACGCACTACATCTGTCCATTTTGTCATGGTCACGTGACCTACCTGCGTCAGTTGCGTCGCTTCGTCCATTCATGAATTTTCTCACGGGACATTATGGGATAGCGCAGCATGCATGGGATGCGCACTCCAGAATCTCACCAGAAGTAGTAAGTCATCCAGGTACTTCTCGCATACTGATTTTCGAATTCTATGAATTCGGACATACTACTCGGCTCGCATACTGATTTTAGCATACTATATAGTATGGAAGTATGGGGTTTCTGATGCAGCCTTTAACTCCAACAATAGTTAGACACACCTGAACCTGCTAATCAAGCTAGATATATACTGTTGGAGCTAATCTCGGCAGGACACTGGGCCTCTAGGACTGAGTTTGGAAATTTATGGATTAGACCATTAGCAATGATGAAAATCAGCTAACTTCTGTGTATTTCACTTCAAAATATTCAAAAAGAGTAAAATTAGTATATTTTCAGAAAAGGGGAGTGTTCCTAAAAGTTTTTTTGTCAGAATGTTTTGATATATCACTTGTCTCCACCTACTGGTATGACAAGCTTTATACGATCTTTATTTTAAGTAGCATTACTATTTTGCTGACTAGTGTTTGTATGCTACCTATAAACATTTTTCCAGTTCTTCTATAATAATTTGAAGTTCACTGACTGGAATAACTAAAATGTCAACAGCTTTCGGTGTTGGCGGTATATTCACTATGATCATAATCGTTAAACATTTTGAATAGATAACTAAATTGTTCTCTAGGGGTGTTTAAGTTAATTTAGCTATGTTTCATTGATTAATTGTGCACCTCTAGGTTAAATTACTTAATCATAACTCAGTGTGTTTCATTGCTGAATGTATCCACTTATCGGTCCCTTGTTAATTGCACAAGTTACGTTCTAAAAATAGCCCTCAATAAGTAGTCCGCTGTACTTTTTACAATTATTATAGATGTTTTATGGCTGAAAAACCTCTCACTACACTATTTATACACTTTTCTCAGATAGGCATAAACATTTTCACACTTATTCCTCCGCTCCTTTCCATCTTCTAGACTCCTTTAGCATGTCCAGCAGTCCAACTTTTTGTGCGATGGTTAGCATCTTCCTCTGCCTTTTGGGTGCTACTTTGGGTACCTTTGACATGGTTTCGTCGACATTAAAACTAAAACTAGCAAACATACAATACAGCATTTCAGAGTCACACTGCTAGCGATCAAAGATTTATGTAAATTTGGCAAGCTAAACGCATTCTGTACTGTGCAGGAGACACAGCAAGGAAGAGTTTGATTGACATTGGTCTGCAGCCAATCAGGACCCAAAACACAATTCGCTGTAAAAAAAAAAAAAAAAAAAAAAAAGCATGTCAAATTGAACAAAAAAAGACAGTGAAATGTGAACTGCATTATGGTGAGGGACCACTGTTAACACATTTTTAACAGTCGCCACCTACTGGGACTAGATAGTTTTTTCATTTGAGTCCTCAAGTAACTACAGTTATTATATACTTTCATGGCTATCACAGTCATTAGTGTTTATATCCAAACTAAAAACATTTATCCCAGTACTTATGTGATGATTTGTGGATGAGTCAGTGGTGGAGAAAACGCAGATCTGAAAGTAAATAGATGCCTATAGTATATAGATTCCTCCGGTGTAGTGATATTTTCAAACAAGTGTATCTCTTTTTTCAACTCTTTTCATCCAGGTTGGTTCTTCGACTGGACTCAGTCATATGACCTGGCGTTCTACCTCAGTGGCACTTGTGTTTTAGTGTCTGGTGTGTTTCTGTTCTTGGCTGCACTGCCTTGCTGGAACAGGACGGCACAAGAGGGAAATTCTCAAGCAGAAGAGGATGTAAACACTTCACAACAGCACCACTCTTTTGACTGTGACAAAGTAGCCTCTGTGGCTTGAACAATACTGCCCTTAACATTTTGGTGAACATACAGATGCTTATCTGCTTTTTCTTACCTGGCAAATTGACAAGGGCATTTTACTGATGGTGCCAATCGTTTTCTTTGGTTCATTGTGAGAAGATGTTTTTATATATTTCCCACAACCTTGGTATTTTTTATTATCAAAGGGTACATTAGTTTTTTCCCTAGATGCTCATGAAGACTGCCTTATTTTTGAGGCCTATATCTATAGCAGAAGTTTATAGTGTTGTTTATAGTATTTTCTGTAGATTGATAACTGGACACTGATTATTATTATTATTATTTTATTATTATTATTATTATTATTATTATTTTATTATTATTATTATTTTTGTGTAGACTTTAATTACTTGACTTGTGTTATTTTATTCTTTGAGACGAATGGACTCACTGATTTCACCAACCAGTAAAAATGCACAGTAGTTTCCCATTAATAAGCATGCAGAAAATTATAGAGTGTGTGAATGGGAATTTTTACTGCATATATAGCATGAAACGCATAGAAAAAATGATAATCCAAAGATTTCTTTCTTTTTTGCCCTGACAAGGACTTAAAACAAGTGTCAAAGACTTAAAACAGAGAGGAAATGCACTTTTAAGCACTCTTATAAATGGCCAGTGACTGCACAGTATTTTTCTACTTTTTTCCTGGTGCATCATCGCTTTTTATTATAACCAAAGTGACAAACAATTTCATTCATCTAGAAAAAAGGCCTTATTTTGAAATTTACTTACTTTAGCCATTTTTAATGTTAAGACATACCTCAGCATCTTGGTCATTTTGAAAAATGAGAACATGCTGATGATAAAAAGAGTCAGAAAAAACACAAAAACAGAAAGGCTGTGTGGCTGTATTATACTGTATGTGTGTATGTGTGTGCCTGGTAATACAAAGTCATCCTCCATAGTTTTTTCAACAGGCTGGTCCCTGACAACGTTTTTGTAAAGTTACCAGTTCAGTAATTTCTTTTTTATGTTAGTATATATTGTATAAAATATTAGCGAAAGAATGTTAAGTAGAGGCCACTACACTTGTGACCAAACACTTGCTTTGAGTCTTGAGTGAACATTTGACAAGGTGCATAATAATTATATATAAAATGTAACGTTGTGCCTTTATATAATATCTCAGTCTTGTTTGTTTTGTACTGTACCATTTCTTCATTTTTAAGTGATAATAAAACGATTTCTATGACAGGCATGACAATTTTACTACATTTTCTCATGGAGTCTTGTCTTCATTTAATGAAAAAAAAATGGAAAATTGATGTAATGGAGGTCAGCTCCAGTAGGACCGGTGGATTACATGTGGGGGCTCGTCCGGGATAGAAGTGAGATTTAGGGGGGTGAGTGTAAAGGAGGCCAGCTAGCGAAGTGCTTTGCAGTAAAACCTCACTCTTCTGACCTCCAAAGGTGCTCTAGTGACAGACACTAGAGGGCATGGTTTTTAGCCTCCTTGTTAGAGCAACCAACTCCAATAGAAGAATCGCCGGTTCGATCCGAGTTTAGACTGGGTTGGGTGCACAAGGACCGGTGGGTTACATTTATAGCTTTTCTAGCTTTGGTAGAATGATTTAACTAGAGTCAACTTAAAACGAAACACTTAACCTTCAGCAAAAGAAGGAGCATAGATATAACATTCACTGACAACTTTGGAATTACCATTTCACCACTGACCTTTACAGCTTTGTACTCCAAATTGTTTTTATGTGCGATATGTGAGTCAGATTTGGACTGTGGAACCAAACACACATATAAACAAAATAACTGTTTATTTATCCTAAAAAATGATTAGTTCTGGTCCTTTTAGTTTGTATAAATGTATTGAATGTATTGGTTCATTTCACTCAGTTCATTAGATCATTTAAGGATTGAATCAATTGAATCAATTACAGTAAATGGCATTGTTAGTGTGTGTGTTAGTGAAAATGTACCTTGTTATGTTTTCACATGCGAGGCAGTGCTATTGGCATGTTCCATTTGGAGCAGTGGAAAAACAACAGACAGTGAGTGAGTGAGCGAGCGGATACGAAAAAAAAGAGAGACAGATGCCCTTATGTATTTTTAATTTGACTTAGCTTGACTGTCTGGTCGCTCTAAACAAACCTATAAATACATCCATGCTATTATTACCCTGGCCTCTGATAAACCCTCTCAATGAACTTTTCCACTAAAAAAAATGAAACAGGTTGATATTCATTTTCCCTCAGCTTAGTCCCTTTATTCATCAGGATACTGTATGTTTTACGCAGCGGATGCCCTTCCAGCTGCAACCCAGTACTGGGAAACATCCATACATACTCATTCACACACATACACTTTGGCCAATTTAGTTTATTCAATTTACCTATGGCATATGTCTTTGGACTCTGGGGGGAACCGGAGCACCCGAAAGAAACCCATGCAAACACGGGGAGAACATGCAAACTACACACAGAAATGCCAACTATCTTGAACAAGCGACCTTCTTGCTTTTAGGCAACAGCCTGAAACAGGATATTGTCTACAAAAATGAACAGAATTGCAATATAAACTAATCAAGCTTAAACCGCAACAGATAATGAGAAATGTAATGGGAGAATTAACACAACATCCTCATAAACTGATACGCAGGTTGATATTTTGTTTTAGGCCATGTGATATTCAAAAGAATTTTAATATGAATAAACTTTAAAAGTTGCAGGCTCTGTTGAATGAATGTATTAATTTGAGGTTAATTTCTGTAATTGTGAACAAGGTTTTCCTGCATCTCCTTCATTGACCAGAAAGGGGAGCCACATCCAGATGGCAGACTTCAATCAAGAAACTTAAAGGGACCCAAAATGATCATTTTTGCACTATTTACTTACCCTCAGGTGGATCCAAACCTTTATGCTTTTCTACATTCCTCAATTCATTATCTTTTTAGCGTAGTCCCTTTATTTATTTGGGGTCACAACTGCGGAATGAAACACCAACTTATCCAGCATATGTTTTACGCAGGGGATGCCCTTCCAGCCACAATCATTTGCCACAACCCAGCACTGGGAATTTATGCTTTTCTTTTTTTCTGTTAAAAACAAAAGAATATATTCTGAAGAAAGCCGAAAGCTGGTTACCAAAGACTTTCACAGTAGAAAAAACATTCAGTAAAAGCCGATGTAGAAGTCACAATCTTGTTTTTGTGTTTAACAGAAGAAAGAAACACAGACAAAGTTGATGACAGCATACTCAGTTCTGGGCAAATTATCAGTTTAACTATGTGAACAAGAAAAAATGTGTTCATTTGGTATTAAAATGACCTTTGATGTGAATTAAGTCCTACTTTTCCCAATTGATGATTACAGATGTTGATTGTGTAACAGTTTCGCTATGTTTACATTTGCTACATCCATTGTAAAAATGTTTTCTGGTGTTTAAACACTTTAAATATTGATTAATCAGAGTTTAGCAACAGCACTAAAATAGTATTTTTTAGACCAATGTGAACACATTTTGTGCATAAAAGGTTTTTTAGTTGTGTTAATGAATAGCGAACCTATGACAAACTCACCCCACACATACAAATTTTAAAAACATAGCCAGACAACTTTGTTCAAACAGAATTTTATTAATGTTCATCGTTATTATTTTAACTCAAGTAACCTACTGTTTTGTCTCTTTGAACATAGCAGTCAACGGCCGCAGTGTGGCGACAGAGAGCGCTGTATTGTTGTATGGGAATTATAAACAAGGCGGATGTTCAGAGACGTCAAAGGGGGGAAAGACGCGTGGCTTCACCTTTACATAAAAGGTTTTGATGACAAGAATAGCTTGCTCAATTTCAGGTAAGAAGACGACTGGCGTTAACTGCATTTTTTTTCTAGTGCTTCACAGTTTTTAGATGCAAAACACTTTGGGATAAACTTGACAACTAATCATCTGTCAATATCAGTACAGAAGCTCACAGTTTGAAACATTTAAGCAGTTTCTCAACAACAAAATACTGTGTTAATATCATGTACCATTTTAAGAACATTATTTTGAACTGTCATGTAAATGCTGTATATGAATGGTATGAATGACTTCAACTTCTATGAACTAACCATATCAGGACATTTTTTCAAGAGACGTTACACTACCTGCCTTAAACCATTTAAAAGGATGGTCTAATTGTAATTTGGTAGAAAGTTGAACAAATGAGTTTAAATGGTGTAAAATTAAATGAACATGGTTAGTAGAAGTGAGTCAGTCATGAGTGAAAAATAACAATAAAGTTTAGTCAGTAGAGCACAAACATGACAGTGCATTTGATAGCAATCTAAAGTAGTTCTTCTTTAGTATTGGCAATCATCCTGAGGTTTTTCTTCTGTCCGCTAAAAGGTTTTGCTCATTGCCCTAATTTGGGCTTTACACTTTGCACACACCCAGCATGACTTCTTTCTGTAGATGCTGAAAACAGCAACAGACTGCTTTCCAGCATACTTAATGCTCAGTATTATAAAAGAAGATGAAAATGAACCGGGACCACAACAGTGCTTTATATTGTATGTAACTAAGTAACAGTAAAACTTGCTTGGGTAAAAGTACCAAAAGTGTTGGCTGTGAAAAGACTTATGTAAAAAATATTCTGCAAATTCATATCTTTCACGTCATACTGTAAAGCACATAGGTGAACTGGACCTCTCCATCAGGTAAAATAGACATTTGACAGTAAAGTGTATCTTTGATTTAGGGTGATGTAAAGTAATTGTACTCCAGTTACTTACCTTGGTAAATTTCTTAAATCACCCTTAATATTTGTAACCCAGTAAGCACATTTCTAAAAACATTTAGTCCAAACAGCATGAAATACTTGCTTAAAAGCCTTTATCTCTTAAATTAAAAAATGATTTGTCAATGAACCTGTGCCATCAGACAGTCTCTCTGACTAACCACTTAAACAGTCTGTTAGTGCAGTGAATCACCATCAATCCCTGATCTATACAAACCCATATCTATGCTTCAAAGTTCGGCATACTTATTAAGTAATAATCACCTAATCACTGGGCTATTACAGACTTGGTCGTTTTGTCTAGGCAGGGAGACAGTGATGCACGACTACACCTGGACTATGTCCAAAATTGCATACTTCCATCCTGTATAGTATGTAAAAAACAGTATAATTCTAGGGGCTAAAGCCATAGGGCTGGCAAAAAGTTGACTTTGCTGGATGCTTGATAGTCTTAACTTTATGGACCGTCAGCTTCAAAAGATAGAATTTTTTCACTGCATTTAAATATTGATTAAAGTTACTATAGTTATTTAGTGAAGAGCAGCAAATTAATATCAGTTTGATCCACTGTTTTGTTTGATAACAGAGGTGTGACTTTTAGAATGAACATAATGAAAACATTAGTTCTGTTTATGCTCATTTAAGATAATATTAGTTGTGTTTAAAATAAAACACACCAAGATGGACAAGTTTACAAATTATTAAGTGTAGTTCACACACCCGAATCTCAAAGTATCCGCTTTCATTCATCTTCAGATCGCATTTATAGAAGCCAATTACAATAGTCTCTGTTTATTTTTTTTAACACTAAACATTTTACAGTCTTTTTTTATTTCACTTTGTGAGAGGTGGAATACCGGTTTCAGTCATTTGTTCATGCAAAGACAGACCTTACACCTCTTACAGTATGCATGTGAGAATTGATAGCATTTTTAAGTTCTTTAGCCCTTTAGGACTCCCTTATCTATTGTTTTGTTAACAAATATAGTAAAAAAAGTACAAAAGCAAGGCATGTTTGCAAAACTTGAACCTGCATACTCCTCAGTAAATGTGCAGTTGCGCTCCTGAATTCATAACTCTTTTGAGGGAGACACAATTAGTCCTGTCAGGATATAGATTAATGTGGTGTGCAGCATGTGATGCACCCGTGTGTGATGCAGCATGAAATAATGCTTTAATCAAACTTCATTATAATGCAAGTAAATATTGACTATGCCCAAAGTCTTCTTCAGAGGCAGCTCTGTTGTTGCTCAAATAATCTTTTTATTTGCTCTTGTTTACATCTCTTTCACATCTCTCCCCATCCTGCAGAACCATGTATTCCAGAGAGCTAAAGGGGCAATTATGTAGCAGGCATTGATCTTTTTCTGCAGAGCTGCTTTATGGCATCATACTGAGACAAAATATCAAAGAACTATTTTTGCTGCTTGGGCTGCGTTTTCACTGCAAGCCTTAATGCACTGATCCAAACTTTTGCCCATATCA